ATCTATATATTATTTGTAACTAGTATATCATAGATAATATATAAAAAAATGTCATAGATATAAGTAGATATTGTTTGTTGTCATTGCTCTCTTGTCTTAATTCAAAACACTTATTCAGACTGATTCAAAAAATACCAGAATTCAGTATAATTTTAAAAACACTTATTTTGTTTTGTTTTCATAAATCTTGATCTATTTTTTAGTACTTTGATAAAGTAGGCAGATATATCACACATTTAAAAAATCACCACCCAATCAAATATTTTTCTTATTTAGTGAGATTGGACAAAATTGGACAAGTCATACAAACATCTTAAATCATAGTGCAAGTTTTGTATAAAATTATTATTTTTCTCATTGAGTTAAAAGAACTCGATTGATTTGGACAATATAAAATAGAGGTTTCAAACATTGTTCTTCATTTTTTAAAACTACTGATCCAATTCTTCAGATTTATGAACAATTAAAGATAAGTTAATTTGATTTGCTCAAACTTGTGTCATTAGGGACCTTAATGACAAAGTTATTTCCTATGTGAAATAGTAACCCTCATCCACTTTTTAGAGGTTATAGAGGCTTTGTTATGAAATTCAAACAAAAAGCTCATTTTGGCTCGTTCAATACCCATTGAATTTTTTTTTTCTCAATTTGTTAAGTTTTGTGACAAAATTTTAATTTCTACTATAATGTTGTTATATGTATTACAAATTCAGCTCATTAAATTTTTTAAATTTCTATTTCAAGAATATAAAATTAAATGTTAGTATCTTATGATGAAATGTCTTCAAATTATTCTAATATCAAAGTTAATATTTTTTATAAAAATTATTAATTTTATTGAATGTATATTAAAAATAATACATGATATAGCGGTTTGGTTTATTTTTTAAACTTTTTTTTTATTTTTTTGGAAAAATATAAATAAATTTGACAAAAAAAAATTGTTTGCTTTGATTTTGCAAATGGTTGTGGAAGAATGTGACACCTCCCAAAAATCAATTTTTTTTGTTGGTTGGCTTGGAGGGGCAAAGTGCAATCCGGTCTAAGTGGAAACCTTTAGCGAAACCCAAATGAAAATAAATCTTAAGAATTTTTTATAATATTTTGGGTGCCTCACCCCAAATACAGTGAAATAAACCAAACGAAACTAAACCAAACAAAGCTTTATGTCCCAATCAAGTGGGCTACGATACGTGAATAATAATTTCGTCATTTCGTACTATTAAACGCTATATGCTCTGTTAAATTAAATAAATTCGTTTAATTTTTTTACTTATCACATCCCAAGTCAATTTACGTCTTCCCCTAACATTTCCTTTTACGGTGATCCTATCACATTCTTCTCTACCATTTCATCTGCTACTCTACATTGTACATACCAAACCATCTTAGTTTGTTCTCTCTGAACATATTTTCAATTGGTGCTACTCCTACCATTTAATGTACATTCATTTCTATTTCTCTGTGTCCAAAACTTACCAAACACCCACCTAAGCATCCTCATCTTAACTACACTCATTTCATGAGTTTGTTGTTTCTTAATTGTCCAATATTATGTGAACTGTAAAGTATCACTGGTCTTACAATTGTTTTATAAATTAACGACGTCAATTTTGTTAGCATCATTGATCACATAATATGCCAAAGGCACTCCACTTGAACCGACTTTGATTCTATTACAGATGAGAATTTGTAACACAACATGAATCGTACATGAAATTAGGGGTTAGGGTCGAACATTTTCAACACAAACACAAATATGACACTATATAATAACATGATAAATAAATAGGGTTATGTCAAACCTGCATAATATGAAATTGACACAGATAACCCATTTAATAGATAATTAGTTACAAATTTTAATGTTATTTTCATTAAAGGATGCTAGAAATGTTTAAATCTTTTATGTAACCTACACAATTAAATAAAGAAAATACGTAAAATAGTATTTTCAGGTTAATATAGTCATTTTGTCTTTTATTTGAGAGAACATGATCTTTTCATTTATTATGTTGAAGTCAATAAAAATATTTTTTTTTGAATAAAATAGGGTCAAAATTAATTTTTTTTTTTAATAATTTCATTTAGTAGAGATTAGTTTCATGAAATTTAACTTAGGAAAAAACGTTAATCTTTCCATACACTTAGTATTTTTAATTGAAATTCATATTTGTCATTTTTTTGAAAGATAAAATTAACTTTAACCCCCTTTGCTTTACTCCATGTGTGATTTACCTCTTATATTTGAAAATAATAACATAACCCCCTTATGACCTAGCACATGTTTCACACTTGATGTTAACTTGGATTGAACATCTGACGGTATACTTCATTTAGTCCACAAACCACAAGAACATTATAGTTATTTCCAAATTATATGGGTAGTTTGCACATACACATTGAGGTGACATTTGCCCTTTATTAAATATGCACAATGTCTTGAATTGAATAAATACACCTAGAGGGTAAAATAGTATAGTGAAATAAATCAGGTGACAAATACCATTTCTCATATAGTATAATAGACGGCAGATTCAAGTATACAACCCCACCTTCATATTACCAAGTGAAATACTGAATAAAGGTGTATATATATTTAGTACTATTATAAAAAGAAGTCTTATCTGGGTGTGTTATGTCTCATATTTTGGGTTTTCTATTAGATAATTAGATAATTTTCTCAGTTTTGTAAGATAATTTCGCAACTGAGAAATTGTTAGTTTTGTATAACTAAAAAAATAATATTTTATTTTTATTAAATTTTATATTCAATATTGGTCATGTTTGATAAATCTCATTGTGTAGACTAGAAAAATATATATTTTATTAAAAATAATTGTGTATAATAAAAATTATGAAATTTGTAAGTTTTGAAAAAAAAAAAAAACAAAACAAAAGTAAAATTCTACATTAGTAATGCTATTTGAATAAGAGAAAATATCTAGTACTTTTGAGGCATGGTTAGGTGATTTTCAAAATACTTATGATTGATAGGGAGGGTGGGGCCTACAATTTTATATTAGGGCATAAGGTATAATACTTGGTGATTAGTGGATAACATTGTCATGTGGTGCACTTGTAACACCTAATAATTTTCTACTAACACTCAAGGAATTGACACAATTCCTTCTTCTTTTAATAAAGGTAAAATAGTGTTACATAAATAAATATTTTGAAAATAAGATTTTATGAGTTAACAAAAAAGAAAGAGAACTTAATGAAACATGAACATTACCAGTAGGACTTTTAAGTAATTAACCCAATTATTAGGACTTCTTCCTTAAAATTTAAGAAAGATAAAAAGAAAATTTGATATTGAAGATTAAATTTAAAAACAAAAAATTAATAGAGCAGCGATATATACTGACAAAGTTTGTATAAATTTTTTGATGTGGATCTTTCCCCTAAAAAAAATGTAGATGATTTTCATTAGTAATAAAAGGCAAATTGAATCCATAGTCGTGCAGTTTGCTTCTTGTCTCAAATCAATTTGATTCTTGAAGCTCTAATTGCATCAACTTTTATCCTTTAATTTTACACAATGCATGAATTAAGTGCAACTGATAATATCTATTAAGAGATTAGACCAAAATCAAAGGCAGAATAATTCATTCAAAAGGGAATATATCACTCACACTAATCCCTTAATTACTTTGAGAATAATAAATTGACTATTTTAGTCTTGATTTTAATCCAATTTATAAACACTGAATAAAGGTGAAATACTGAATAAAATTGACTTTAAGAGAACATGATTTTTTTTTTCTTTTCAAAACTCTCAAATTTTGAATTTTCCAGATTCATTTCAATTTTTAGATTTTGAATCCAATCATACAATTTACAGTCTTATTTTCTGAAACAAAATGATCATATATATGTAAGCATGTGGACCTCGAATTGAAATTGCTAGTCCACCTTAATTCTCAATTCATGAATTTCATAATATGAATTTCAATTCTCAATTCTCAATTATACGAATTTCATAATATGACATTAACAATTCTCAATTATATGAATTTTAATTCGCATAATTTTATTCTTAATTAAAAAAAATTCCTTTTATTTACAAGCAAAAAATAAAATTTCCAATTCAACAAATATAGGTTGGTTTATTCACAATTCAAAATTTCAAACCCTAATTTCAAAAAATATAGAATAATTTCAACAAATTGAAAATCCTAAGTTAACCACAAGCATAATTTAACCACAAGAATAATTTCAACAAATTGAAAACCCTAATTCCAAACCCTATTTTGGAATTTCCGCATAACACAATAATTACCAATTCAAATCCTAATTACCAAACCCTAATTTCTGAATAACCCTAATTCCAAACTGTAATTACCAATTCAAAATCACATATTCACAATTTCTGCATAACACAATAAATATATCAGATTCAATTGAGACAGAGAGAGATAGATGCCATACCACGGAGAGAGAGAGAGAGCAGATACAGAGAATGAGAGCAGGGAGAGAGTCTGAGAGCAGAGAGAGAGCGAGAGCGAGAATCTGAGAGCAGAGGGAGAGCTCGAGCAAACAGAGGGGAAAGCAAGAGCGAGAGTCTGAGAGGGAGGAGAAAAAAACGTAAATGTAAAAACGTGATTGCAAATGAAGGCACTTGGAGTTTTATATAAATTGTAAAAGCGTGGTTTCAATCCACGTTTTCATTAATCGACAGTGAAAACGTGATTGTGAATCACGTTTTCTTAAGAAAATAAATATGCACAGTGAAAGCGTGATTTAAAATTACACTTTCTTTAAAAAACTTAAACGATATGCATAGTGAAAGTGTGATTTAAAATTACGTTTTTTTCAAAAAAAAAATTTATGTTAAAATTTTTAATTAAAAGTGTGATTTCTAATAACAGTTTTATTATTTATCAAATTTTTAACCACAACAGTAAAAATATATTTGTAATAACGCTTTAACTTAATTTAAAAATTCCGCCCAAACTCAGCTAGTTTGCGAATTAAGATGATAAATTGGCTTAATATATGGGAAAAGCCTCTGAACTCAATCCGCCGTGAAACCAAAGGTGGCCTGCTACTAGTCCAGCCAAACAGTTCCTTTCGGTTCAATTCTGCGAGCAAAGCTCTTCGGAATGGAAGATCGGGAAGATTTGAGGTCGATACTACCGTATTTGCCTGTGGTTCTCCGATCGTCGACATTGTTCTGGCCCTCGCAAGTTGTGGAAGCTCTCAAAACTCTGTCAAGTGGTCCCCAACACAGCAGAGTTGACACCGGTGAGGTTTTCTTCATCGCCATTTCTGATATCAGGCACTCCCTCTCCCTCTCTCACTCCTCCTCCTCCGAACGCCTTGCCTCCACCGCCGCCGATGGCTACGCCCTCTTCTTTGACGACGTAACTAATTATCTTCTCCTTCTCTTTTTTTTTTTTTTTTTTTTTTTTTTTTTTTTTTTTTCATTCGATTTTCTGTTTGTTTCGCAGAAAACAATGAAAAATAAATTTCACTCGTGTTTTTCAATATTTAGTAGTAAAATGTTTTTCAATTTTTAATTTTTTTTTCTTTCTTTCTTTATTTTCGCCCCAAATATGCTTATTTTGAGTTGATCTTGGAAAATGTTTACTATTATTGACTATGAAAAATATTTTCGGTTAGACTTTCATTTTATGCTGTACCAAATGCAAGAAAATGTTTTAAGAGGCTTTTACAATTCAGCTAGGAAGGAACAAAAAAAAATTAGCAAAACGTGGGAGGTGCAACTGACAACCCTTCCATGTTTGTGTATATATATATATATATATATTTGGGCCTGTTGCACTAAACTATAAATTCCCCCAATGTTTTATGCCCCAACAAATAGAGCACTAGTTTTCTATCATTTTACTTTGTATCTAAAATTTAAACAATTGATGTTTCGTATCATTTTACTTTGTGTACAAAATTTAAACAGTTGATGTCCCGTGCTGAGGCGGCGAAATGGTTTGGAGAGGTAGTCCCAGCAATGGCGAATTTGCTATTGCGGTTGCCGTCTCTGTTGGAATCTCATTATGAAAATGCAGATGGTAATGGCGGAAGAACTGGTCTTCGTATCTTAGAGTCACAAGAACAAGGGATAGTTTTCCTCTGCCAGGTATATGCTTATTTGGTATTCAATTATCAGATTGAAGCCTTTGATTACATGCATACATCGCTGCCCATCATTGTTTTATTTCATTTCTGGTAATTATATCACTTAACTAGATATTCTGTATGGTTGATTACTTCTAAATTCTTGAAATATAAAATTTCGAAAAACAAAAACAAACAACTTTGGCAAACCATAATATGCCCAGAAAGAATCCTTATTTAGCCTGCTCAGTAGCAAAGCTTGGTACTTGTTACTAACTAAGATCTAATAATTGTATAGGGTATATTTTTTTTGGATAAGTAAGAAATATTATAACCAAAAGAAAAAGATATACAATGAAGTTCAACACATCTTTGTAGGGAGCACAAAATAAACAGAACCAAACTACTCCCACCAAAGGACACAAAACTAGGCCTACAGAAGACATAAAACAACTTTCACAACAAAGAGGATTCAAAATTTCCCTCTAACACTTTTCAGGTTATGAAGTTTCTTTTTGAGTTTTCTTCTATTTTCCTCCTTAGTGATCTCCACATTACTAGGGTCACTTGGAGATGGACACCCTTTATGATTTAGAATATTCATTTGGCACAACAACTCTCCACTCAATTAGGGTATACATCTAATCCTAGAGAAATAATAATTTTTCACTTCTGCGTTTCTATTTGTCCTTTTATTTTAGATGGCCTTATTTTTTGTATTTTACAATGTCTGTTGTTTTCAGGAATTGATCGGTGCTCTTCTTGCATGCTCCTTCTTTTGTTTGTTTCCAATCAGTAATAGAGGTGCCAAACATCTTCCAATGATCAACTTTGATCATTTGTTTGCGTATGTAACTGACTGTTGGCTTCTTTGTTTTTATGTTATTTTTCAATTGTCTTGTGTATGTAGGATAAAAATAATGAGTTTGAGACAAGTATGACAATAACTTTGTATATTCTACATGCTTTCCTTTGCTTGATTTGTCAAAATAGTATCTTATAAGAAAACAGATGTTTTCTACGGGTCATAATTATGTGATATCATTAACTAGTGTTGGATTTGAGAAGTCGAGAAAGTTACTTTCTGTGGACAATATATTTGTAAAGGCTTCTCTCTCAGTTTTAGAGGGGATGGGGATGGGGTGGGGGGATTCAACAAGACAAGTAAAGGACTTAAGCTAATGACATTAAGGTTGAACAAGTAACCAAACACATCACTAGGCCACTAAGGACAGTGACAATGTAAAAGAAAAAGAAGCTTGTTCACTCAAGTTGAGTTCCTCAAAGCCAATTCTGTGGGTATTGACCCCCCAAAGTGTCTATATTTAACTGTTAGTTGCCTTTAATGGAAAGTACTACATTTAAGTGAGGATTTTGCTTTTGATTGTGGCTCCTTGTTGTGCTAAAGGTATTACAATGCCAAATGTCAAAAGTGAAGATTATAGCCAGAACAGAAGGTGCTCAAGAGCTTAAAGCACATAATTGCAAAAGGATTGAAAAAAAGAAAATCTAGGGAACACCTTTGGGCACCACCTCTAGCCATTGACAACCACCTTTGGCCACTACCTCCCACCAGCAACCAGCTTCAGCTACCTCGTCTCACTTGTTTTCACAAGAAGTTTTTGGAACACGTGTTTGTACAAAACATATTTTTGTTGTCATTATTACAAAAAATAAACAAAACCTGTTTAATGATTTTATAAACAAAAAAAGTGAGGGAGCATGATAGATTGACCTTTCAAGGAGTAGAGCAGTCTCTATATAGGCTTAAGTGTTGTTTTTGGCTATTTTGTATAGTTTGATAGGGAAGAAGGCAATACTTATTTTTTGAAGAAAAAAAAAAAAAGAGAGTAGGTGTTCGCAATATTGTTAAATGATGATGTTTTACCTGAATGTTTAAAATTTTATTAAGAACATGCATTGTTCACCTATATAAACTAAGAAAGGTGCAGTATTTATTTGGCTTTGTTGATTCATGTATGAGTTTTGTGCTATCATACATGAATTGATCAATTTCTTTCTTCTCATATCAGGAAAATAGGTTCATTTCATATTCATGTGTCTGCAGGGGTCTCTATGACAGTTATAATGAAATGCGAGAGAATAAAATAAACTGCATCACACACTATTTTGAGAGGATATGCTCTTGTATGCCTGTGGGTGTTGTCTCCTTTGAGCGTAAAGTACTTCCTTTGGAAAATAGCTTTCCTTGTGTTTCTTATCCAAAGGCTGATTTTTGGAGCACATCTTCTATTCCTCTTTGTCGTTTCAAGGTAACAAAGGAACATATATACTTGTTTAATTTGTGTGTACATTTTTTTTTTTTGGTTCAGTAACCCAACTTTCAATGGTTTACTCCAAGGATATGATGATTTTCATCTTTGTTATTGTTGTAGGTTTACAGGTCTGGCCTGATAGAAGATCAATCTTCTGAAGCTCTTGAAGTGGATTTTGCTAACAAGTATCTTGGAGGTGGTGCTCTTCACAGGGGTTGTGTACAGGTTTGCTTTCATGGAAAAGATGGACCCTTATTCTGATTATCAAATTATTTGGTGAATTAGAATTGTTCTTGACTTGTATTACTAGCCTTGTTTTATTCTCCTGCACATGTTCATGAAACCAGATTTAATTCAATTCCACTTACCAATGAAATAGCACCGATTGATTCCAGAGTTAAGAAAAATTTATCACTCAATTAGCTCAACTCAACAGGCCCCAATCCAATCACATAAAGGTTGGTTCATGGATTTGGGTAGGGATTTGGAAAGGGAAAGGGAAAGGGAAAGGTAGGTGAAATGTGAATGAAATATAATTACATTTCACCTACATTTCACACACTTTTCCCCTTTTCCGTTCCAAATCTATGAACCAAACACAGCCTAAGTGTATGTGTCTTCTTTTTCTTTTTCATTCTTCAAACTTTTTACAATCGCTTTGACCATTATCTTTGAAAGCTTTTTCAAAATTGGACTATTGATATTTGAGTGTCATAATTATCTTGTGTAGGAAGAGATCCGTTTCATGATCAATCCAGAATTAATTGCTGGCATGCTTTTCTTGCCTTCCATGGCAGACAATGAGGCTATAGAAATTATAGGTGCAGAAAGGTTTTCAAATTATACAGGGTGAGTACAACTCACTAGATTATGATTGAGAACATTTACTAATGGCTGTCTAAACATTACCATTGTTATCAATGGCACCTCAAATGTATCCATTATGTCTATAATTCAGATTGATGCAGCATTTGTAGTCGATAACGAGTAGTGGCTTTTCTTTCTTCTATTAATTGCAATTGATGCGAACATTTGTTGCTGGAGTGTCTTCGGGCATGTTTGTCTATTGAGTAAAGAAATACCACCAATTTGAACCCTAGCTGGACTATCCTTCTCACCATCAATTTGTTATAAATTGAGGTTCCACTTACTGATAGCTTAGACAACTACCTTGCAAATATTGTACTAGTGGCAACTTGGTGAGTCCAGACAAGACACTACCAAATTGGTGTTATAGAAGAAAACAGTCAACCACCTTCTCTTGGCGGATTATGGTCAGGTCTTCTTCACTCCCTTCTTATCTGGGGATTGAGAAACATTTTTCCTCGGAAAAGTATTTGGAAGTCAAGGGTTCCATCGAAAGTAGCTTTCTTCGTGTGGACAACAACTCATGTTTTTTTTACCATTGATAACCTGGGGAGGTGGGATCTTTTCCCCTTCCTAATTGGTGTTGCATGTTCCACAAAGATGATTAATCAGTGGATCACTTGCTTTTTCATTGCAAGGTGGTGACAAAAATTTGGAAAGTTTTCCATTTTTCATGTTGTCTGAGCCATACCAGCCTCAATTTGTTTGCTCCTTTAGTTTTGGGCATGTGGGTGCTCTTCCAGGAAAGTCTTAAAAGCTTGGAAGGTGGTACCCATCTGTTAGATGTTTGAGTGCGTGACGCAAATGGAATAAGCATACTTTTGAGAAGTTAGAGTCGTCATTATGTATTATATAGTTGTCTGGAATCCACTGATTTTTTGTGAATCATCAGTTGCTCTTGTAGATTTTTTGGGAGAGATCTCTTTTGGTGAGACGTAGTTTGATTGAATAAAACTAATGCAGAGAGATTACGTCATTTCTGGCATGTTTTGAATATATTTTACTTAAATCAAATAAGAGATAATAATAATGGGAATAATTTTCAAGTTTGTCTACAATTCAATTCATGAATTCTTTGACTCTCTCTCCAAATGTCTAGTAATCTTTTATTCCAATGGCTCTCAACTAATCCATCAAAGTGGTACAGGTATGCTTCTTCATTCCGTTTTTCTGGTGACAATGTTGATAAGAGGGATTTAGATTTAATGGGAAGACGTAAGACGAGAATCGTTGCGATTGATGCACTATGCAGCCCAGGAAAGAGACAATTTGGACAAGAATGCCTTCTCCGGTATGTAAAATTTTGGGCTATGTTATTTTTTGCTGTTATTTATGTATTTATGTACGTGTATTTTTGTATACATGCATTTGTGTACATACTGGAGCCAAATTCATTATTCAATAGTGGTATTTCTAGTACACTATGTATAGAAAGGGTTCATTGTTGATGTCGGTCCTGCACATTTTGAGTGTTTGGAGTAGTTGATTGTATCTTCTCTTTTAGCTAGTATTGTAAGGTAACACCTTATCCCAAACCTCTAATTTAACCATTGCAACCCATGGGTTAGATTATCTTTCAACAATATAGGTGTAATAAATAAGAATTGACTGGAAATAATAAGTTTTAAGGTAAGCAGTCAGAGATTGAATGATTTACATTTAATTCTCATTAACAGGAATGGACTAGTAATCAAGATTCAAGTGTTTGGTTTCATTTTTGAGAGAGGCTTCTCCCCAGTCATCTAAATGACTAGATCATCTAGTTCAGGTCCGTGGGCCTATTACAACTCCCATTTGATGATCCAATCGGTTTATTGTTTAGGTCTATGTGTGTAGATGACATCATGTTGTCACAATTATTGAATCAATTTGATTCTCTTCATGAATGATATAAGTAGAGGCCTACAACTAGAACAAATCGGATCATTATAATGGGGCCTGTGGTGGGCCCATGAGCCCGGATTGGACTGGTCTAGACATGCCCAACCCTTTGATTTTTAGTTTTAAATTTTCATTATTTTTATGGTTGAAGAGACCTGCCAATGGAATTAGCTCATGGTGAATGAAAACTTGAGTCGAGTGCACGATGGAGTGGGGTAATTGACTTTTACCTACCTTACTGATGCAAAATTTTTCTAGGATGTAGTTGACTTATATAATAGTGTGGCTGAAATAAGCATATGTAGAGATGGATGATTGTAGGCCAAAACGAGAACAAATTAGAGACTGACACATACATGAAACAGTAGAGGTGCCAAATAAGAAACAAATGAGAGAAGTTATATTAAAGATTGGGGTTGTTTGGATGTGTTATATAAGTGCACTTTTTGACTTTTTGACTAAAAAAATAGAGAAAAAAAAGATGTATGTTTGGGATAACTTTTTGAATTTTTATAAAAAATTGTGAAATAAAATATTATAAATGCACAGTATACTGACCAAATTATTGATTTTTGGGGTGTGCATGAATTTTTTTTTTTTTAATGGGAACTTGTGGCTTGGGATGTGTCTCGTCTTCTCAATTTTCTAAATATATGTACAAAATACATTGACTAAACCTGTCGGATATTAAAAATAAATAAATAAAAAAATAGCTTCCCCCACACGCTTATAGTATGGACTTTTTAACATTTTTAGTAATTTTTGGCTTTTTAGCTTTTATAGTTGTAAGAGGAGTTAACTTGAGCCCACTAATTAATTGGGTCCAATCGAAGCCTAATTGGAAAGCCCAAAAATAGGTGAGCTTGGACAAATTATTGCCAAATAGGCCAAGTGAATTCTATTGAACGAGCCCACAAGAAAGCCAACAAATTGGGCTCTAAAGAGAGTCTAACAAGCCCATCTGAGGAGGCTTAGATCATACAGGCGTCCGAGGAGGTTAACCGTTGTTTTCAGAAGAGATGAAACCCTCAGAGGAGATCCATTCTCCGAGGTATTGGCTTAGTCTTGAAAGGATTCGGAACCACGAACCTAGAGACTTATTTGAGCTCAGACTCGAAAGGGTTCGGATCCACGAACCTAGAGATCTGAAGCGCTTGGCTTCAAACGGATTCGGACGCAATCTAGAAGTCACTCCATTAATGAGTCCCATAACACTTGCGGGTTTAGAGCTTTCCGGGATCTACGCACCAGAACTATCGGCGTAATGGAGTCCGAACAAAGGACCCGATCTCGAGGACGGTGAGTGGAGATAAATTCACTCTTTGGTTAAACCAGCTTATACCTGGGTTGAAGTGGCACGATCTAGGGGGTCCCTGAGACTCGGCAATATTTGCGGTAGGGTGTTCTCTTGAACTACCCTTGACCCTTCTGCGGTAGGGCGTCCTCTGGGACTACCCCTGACCCTTTGGGATGATTGGGGATCATTGGTTAGGTGTGGCTAAGAAGAAGGGTTCGCCGAGAGGTTGATCTCCTCTTTGGGGTTTTCTTCATCCTTGGAGAAGTCAACTCCTCAGACAAGGTGGTTAAAGAGAATATTTCCCATGTGCCTTACACATGGGCTCCATCCTACATCATGAGGTGTCTATAAATAGCACCCACCCATAGCTTTACAGGGGATGGATTTTGAAGAGACATTTTTTGGGAAAAAACTAATTTCCCTTCTCCATTATCTACCTTGAGAGTAAAAGTGGGAGATCCATGGGATAGCCTTGCCATTATTCTCTCTCTAACTACTTTGCATTCTTCTTCACCCAATCTTTTATCTCCATTATCTCTTTGCTATTGTGTTCTTAGTTGTGATTGTTGAAGAATCTAAGCCTCTCATCATTTCTAGAGAATTCGAGTCTTCTTCAAAGATCTTCGAATTTTCCCACAACGTTCTTGAACCCTCTCATACCATAGTAGGTCCCAAACAAGTACTGAATTTAATTCGTGATGAACTCAGATTTGAATAATGGGTTGTATTTTCAAGTGGATGACCATAAGTCTAGTTTAATAGCAATGGATTTGTTTCTGACTAGATCAGTCCTGATTTTCCCCATCTAATTGTGTGAAGGATCATTAAAACCATTCAAAATTGAATTCTTTTGTGAGTGGTGAAATAGGATACATGTAGTTAAATAACCAGGATAAGTTTTTCTTGACTTGTTTCTTTACCATCTAAATGGTTTGGTTGTTTGTATTTAGATCGTCTGTGCAATTGGATTGCATTAAAGGCATTTGCATAGCTTATTATTTTGTGTAGGTATTGATCAGTAACTGTGTCACTCCAAGTTGCTCGTTTAAACAGGGAGATTAACAAGGCGTTCTGTGGCTTTTTCGATCAATCTAAATGTCAGCAGTATCAGAGACTGTTTCAAGATGATAAACTTTGCAGAGATCAGATTGATCAAGATGTTAAAGGCCTCATAGGCATATACAGGGATTCTCATTTGGTATTGTTCTTTCTCTCAAGTTCAATTTGAATAAAATAATATTGGGAAAAATTCAAAAAACCCCACTGTTTGACCCTTGTGACAAAATAAACCCCAAGTTTTAAATCATGAACTTTTAAAATGATACCAATTCCAATCATCCATCAATATTTGTTAACTAAAACAAACGATGAAGGGATAAATTTGCCATTACGGTCCACCACCTCGCCGGCTCCCTGCCGCCACAACTCCTCCCTCCATCATCTCCCACAATTGCCACCAACACACCCACTATCCCCTTCCCCCGCAACTGCTGGAGAGAGAAAGAGAATGGTGATGGCCCCACCCTATCTCCCCCGGCCACCGACACCCCCACCCTCCCCTTTCCCTGCAGCTGTTGAAAGAGAAAAATACAGAGTTGAGAGAGAATAATAGGAAAAATAAATGAAAACCAATTTGGGAACCCTCAATTTGGGGCCTCGGTAGCATTTTATCTCACTGTAAATACTGATGCATTCTACCAAAGTACCCAATAATGAAAATTTTGGCTCAAATATGCAATCGATATAAGAATCGTGGATACAATAGACCGCATCATATCAATCTTTCAAAAGAGTACTACTAGAAAGACAAGGCAAATAAGGAATTAGCCTTCCCTTGCACTGATGTAAAAAGAATCATGAATGAAAGAATCACAGCCCTCCTACTACCAACTCCTATTATTACTAATAGAAGAAAAAGGAGAAAAAGAGATCACCCTCTTTACTTAGACAAGACAACTGCATTGATCACTGTTTGAGCATTTCTGTATAACTCCAATTTCTTTGCAAGGTTAATACACCATTGCATTATTGCTGGATCCTCATCCAATGAACCCCACTGTTTAGCCTACAAAACAATTTGGAAAGATAAATAAGCACCAGCCACCCCGGTCCTCCCCTTCCCCTGCGATACCCCCTTCCCTCCCCTTCCCCAGCATTGGCCGACCCCCTCCCTCCTGTAATAGATGAGCCCCTTCCCCTTTTCCCGAAATCTGGAACCATCTTCTATTAAAAAGAATAAAGATAAAAAGAGGAGAGGGACATAGATCAAATTGACAAAAAAATATCCAATAAGAATTATGTATATTGACAAAATTGTCCCTCTTCCGTTAAGACTACTTAATGAATATTGACAGATGGTTGGAATTGGTATCATTTTAAAGTTCAGACTTTAAATTAATAAAATTAAAATGCATAGTTTAATTTGTCACAAAGGTCAAACCCTATAGAATATTTGCATCACTTGATGTTTTTGCCTTGACAAAGTCTGTGCTGATGAACTTTAACTGTCACTTCTTCATTGAGCTTGGATTTTCATAAATTTTGGATTTTTTAATATTTTATGTGTCAAGTTGCTTGCTTGATTGTTTTGTACTTTCCCATAGTTGCGCGAAGCACCATCAACTTCATCTGAATCAAATCAAGGAATGTTTGGGGACAAACCGATAAGGACTTCTGAACAAAACTATAGTCAGCATGCGGTTCATGAAGATAAAATAGGCATTGTGACGGGGAATTGGGGCTGCGGTGCTTTTGGGGGAGACCCGGAACTTAAGGCCACAATTCAATGGCTTGCTGCTTCTCAGGTGATTTTCTCTGCTGGCCTCCCTTTTTTTCTTTTCTTTTTTTTTGCTGTGGACCTTCTATTAATTTGGCACCTCAATTACTGCTCATTGTAACAAACAAAGTGTGCTGAAAATTTTCAGGCATTGAGGCCTTTTATCTCTTATTATGCATTTAGTGTGGAGGCATTAGAGACTCTTGACCAGGTACTTCTTTCTGTCTGAAGCTTTTAAACTTTGAACTTCCTAATCATTTCTGATTAAGCCAGTACTACCAATTTATATTTGTTCCATGTTCAGTGGGGACAAAAAAAATAGTTCATGCTATAAAAGTCCTTTCTAACTTTAAAATTATGGATGGACCCAGTTAAGTCAGTATTTGCCAAATTGCCACCAACAGTGTACCACACTCGTCATTTTGATGCATATTAGTGGTGGTAATTGTGAGTTACTAGAAAGTAAAATCTATGCCCGCTAAAAAGATAGGTGGTTTTAGCATTTAATTTGCACTATGCTGGCTTTATATCCGTTTCAGCACCTGTTGCCCCTAAGGGTCAAAATTATTATTTTACCCCTAAGAGTCCAAATTACAAATTTACTGTTATCTACAATTTACCAAATCACCACTTACCCTACTCCTTCAGAGCATTAAGCCAAAAGACGTGGCTTGCGAGCCTTACGAAATATTTAACTAAACTTTTGTTTTTTTGAAATGCTTATTTTGCTTCTCTCACTAGCAGCTGACCTGTTTGATTGACATTGTGGGGCAGGTTACTCAATGGATTCGGTCCCATGAGTGGACAGTCGGAGAACTATGGAATATGTTGGTAGATTACTCATCTCAGAGATTGAAAGGAGAAACTAACCTCGGCTTTTTCAGTTGGCTCCTTCCATCACTCTCCACGTGTGATGCAGTGATGTTGGATGTTCCTCAAACTCCGTAAAAAAAAATTCTCCTGTATCTCAATCATTATATATTGCCTCTTTTCTTTGGGTTCACTTTTTCAGCATAGTTTGTATTTGTTTCTTTTTACATGAGCACTCACTTAGATGTTCTATTTCCAAGTATGTATCTGTGATGTTAGGAGATTAACAATTGTGAACACTTGCCTACATTTCTGTGCAGCTGAGCCAAATGGATTCAAATGGAGATTGTTAAAAAAAAAAACTTTACTCTTATTTGATCTCCTTCTTTCTTTCTTTCTATCTATGATTGCACATATTCATAAAAAGAAGAGATGAACATATTTACTTCATATATGCCAGCACCCTTTTGGTTTCACTTCATGTGTTGCTGATGATATTCATTAGATCAGGCCTGGGGAAATATTTGCAGTTCAGTAGTTTACCTGTTTTCCTTTTTCACGAATTTGTTACCACTTCTTGCCCTTTAGGGCTTAGTGCACTGACAAGATTTAAGTTTCAGCAGATAGAAATGTTTGGCTTGGTGTCATAGGAATACTATAAGAATTTGAATGGCTGATATGAGCAGTTGAATAGACTGGAGTTGGCCATCTCAACCTTAGCTGCAGTGCTGCAAAAAAATGCCAATCTTGGTGTTTTTTTGCATCAATTATGTATGATAATTTAAATTCACGATCTCTTGAGGTAACATCTTTTTTTATGGCTGATATGAGCAGTTGAATAGACTGGAGTTGGCCATCTCAACCTTAGTTGGCCATCTTGAAAAAAGAAAAAAAAAGAAAAGAAAGATGAAGGATTGGAGATGATCTATAAGTATGAGTACTTGTTAGGTGAAGATGTTGCCTTTCTATTGGTGTAGACCCTTTTTTTTTTTGACAAGTAACTTTTGACTATTTTATTTACTCTCTCTCTCTCTCTCTCTCTCTCTCTCTGTGTTTTTACTTGTATTCTATGTATTTTCTAAATTTGCTAAAACTTCTATAGGTGGGCTGATTCTTATGCTAGAGAATCTTCTAGATTAGGTTCTGGTTGGGTCTTACGGATTACCAACCATAATACTACTTGAACCAAAAGCCCGTAAAATTGATTAGGCCAAATTGTATAGTTAGTCAAGTAGATAATCCTAGTTTTAAAGCTTACCAATTTAGTTTACCAATTGATATATGTCATTTTCTGCCTTCTTACCAATTTAGGTTTACCAATTTACTTTACATTTTCTACCTTGTAAGGGGGTGAAAAGCTAGAAAAGGCTATAGTTAGCATCAGTAATTCAATAGCTTCAAGTATATAATTGACTGTTTTACACGGTGTCTTTAGAATACACTTTTTCCTTTCAATGCATGAAGTCATGAACCACCAAATACTATGCTTCAAGATAAAAACTGACATGCCTGTCTTATTGGGCTGAAGTAGCACCACTGCTTCCTAATCCCATCTTTTTCCCCAAAACCGCAAGCTGCTCTGCAAACTGACTACCAGTGAGAATTTTTGTCGTTTCATATATTACAGGTTTGACTGGTTGTTGACGTTATGCAAGCTCTTGCAAGCTCCCATACTCCACATAATTGCCACCACCTATCATAAACACAATAGCTTCTTTAAATGGTCCTTTCAGATGGCTACTACTTGTCCCAGAGCTTGACTTGGGAGCACGAGGATCAAATACAAGATAAGACTCAATTTCAGGATTTGGTTTCCCCTCCTTGAATGCTTCAATTGTCCTTGACAATGCAAGTTGATGATCGCTAGACAATAGATTCTTCACGCCATCACTGACAGCACTAAGTGACTGCCCATAGAGCTTCTCGGCCCAATCCACAATGTGACTTCTACTAGCAGAATTTGCATTAGCCGATGAAACATTTAACAACTTGATCTTTTTGACATACTGAAATGCACTAGTATCAACTTCAGACTCCCTGAGTGCTTCAACCATTTCCACTTCTGAATGAGGCATGCTTTCAGAAGAAATAAGGTACATGATTGCAAAACCCAGCTTATCCAACTTAGTTCCTTTCCCTTTAAGTACACTGAGCAGTTCAGTCCTATCAATACCACCTCTAACCATCATGTCACTTTCTTTTTTGGCAAATGAATCGAGTGACCTCTCCTTGATCTCACCCAACAAAACAGTAGCAATATTAGTATGCTTATCAATCACCTGCTTCCTTTCAGTCAACTCTAGCCAGGAACTCACAGCATTCACAGCATTCATCGAATGCTTTGTGTTGCCAATCAAGTCTGTCCCATCAAATTCGGCCCCCTCGTTTCCACTTGTCCTCCTATTCACCTCGTCAACATCCTTCTTATACTTATTCAATTGGGTCTCAATCTCCACAGCCACTTCTGGAAATTCCAACAACCCATTTGCCACCCAAAACGGGTCCATCCTATCCAATTCATAAGATTTCATCCCACCCTTCTCTCCTGGCACACTCAATCTATTCAGCCTCAAACCCAGAACATCATGAACAAGCGCCTTATACCTAAAAACATGCTGTGTAGCAACAAACAGCTCGAAATTCTGATCAAATATACACAAAATCGGCCTCTGAAATGAAGTAGCAAAATTTCCACCTTCAGAGAACAAATTATTCTTTGCCAACAAATGGTCGCGCAAACGATGATCCAGCAAAGACGCGACCATTTCAGCAGGCCCACCGCGCGAGCACCTGATTATAGGGACAATAGCACGGGTAGCCAAAACACAGAACAAACCACTCACAATTTTCTCAACAATTTCCTCAATTTCACGGTCTCCAGCAGAAGGATCATTCAATTGAACATAATAAGACTTATTCGCAAGAGAAAACAAAATATAATCTAGGGTTACACACTTCAAGTACTAATCGTGTACCTTGGAAATTCGATTGGTGGAGTCGGAATTGAGAGTCCCCGATGTGAGATCTTCAAAGAGAGGGTGAGGAATCGAGGATGAGAAAGCTGGAAGGAATTGTAGACAGATCGAGGGGCATCGGAGATGATTCGCTGAACGTTGAGGTGAATGGGTTGGACGAAGTAGACAGCGGGGACATCGTGGACAGGCTTGCGGTCCTTGTCGATGAGGAAGTATAGGGTTATGCTGTGCTTGAGAAGGTCCTTGACGTGGATGAGAGGGGAGAGAAAGTCTTGGCAAAACTTGTCGTAGATCAACATCTTGTAAACTTCTTCATTCGCTATTCCACTTGAATTCACAGGTTGGTTCAGATTCAACATTCGAGTAATGCATTCTGCAAATCAAAGTCATGAATAAATATCAACAAAATTAGATCGATAGATCGAGAGAGAGAGATCTACGGGTCTGTCTTTGTCGGAGATTGAGTGCCATGGTTGAGTGTCGTAGAAAGCTTCGCAGGAGAAAGAAGACGAAGACGACGGTGCCATTGTTGTTTCTGGTAAGGTAAGGCTCCGTTTGGATGCCAAGTTGTTATATTTGACTAACGCACATGTTTGTTTAGTGTGGCGGTGCTTTGGGAACTTGTACCTTCCTTCTGCTTCAAATGTTGTATGATAACAAATGAATTATCAAAATTTGACTGAATAATGGAGTGTCCTTTCCCTATTTTGAACATGAAAAATGCGAGTCTTTATCTGCATATAGAATGGCTGCCTGATGTTGATTCAGTTTATAACTTTATAAGCATTACAATAAAACTTTATCCTTGCATGTCTTATTCGGCTTCCGTCTTTATAGATCTAACTTGGATATGAAAAGTACTCTCAGGTTATGTCTTCAACTTCCGAATATATTATAAAGTGAAAATTTTAATAATGCACTCAAGATTAATTTAAAAAATGTGGAAGATTTACATTGAAGATTCTTTTTGTTTGGGTTTAATCAATTTTCATGTGGTTTATGTAGTTACATGGTTCAACATGACTCAAGTTTCTATTATTACAGCAGCCATCAATTTTATTAAATAGTGACTGGTATCTTAACAGGAAAATGGCACACTGGAGGAATATAAATTAGGTCCTGAAGGTGTTAATCAAGCACTTTTGGCAGGAGAATTATTCCAAAAGGTAGGTGTTCCTACAAATACTTGCTGTGGTTCTCCAAGGCCAACACAGCTTTCTCAAGTTAACATTTCTAAAAAGTGATCTAGAATGTATAGCTGATGTAAGAGCATCCAATCCTTCACCAAATCTTGTATGAAATTTAAGTTTGATGAAATTTTTGGTGAAAATGACGTCCAATCATTTCATCAAGCTTGTATCAAATCAAGTTTTTACCAAAATTTTCATCAAATCAAGAAAAAAACACGTTTTTCACCAAATTGGATGAAAGAAACTATTGAGGATAAGCTTGAAATTTTTAGAAGGATTTGATGAAATTTTTATGTGAGGATTGGAGCATTCAGTTTTTTCACCAAATCAAACTTTTAGTTAAATTTGATGAAAAGCCATTGGAACATATCCTGTATCCAATCAATTTTTTTGCCAAATTTGATGAAAAAAAAAAAGAAAAAAAGAAAAAGAAAAGAAAGATGAAGGATTGGAGATGATCTATAAGTACGAGTACTTGTTAGGTGAAGATGTTACCTTTCTATTGGTGTTGCTTAGACCCCTTTTTTTTTGACAAGTAACTTTAGACCATTTTATTTACGCTCTCTCTGTCTCTCTGTTTTTACTTGTATTCTATGTATTTTCTAAATTTGCTAAAACTTCTATAGGTGGGCTGATTCTTATGCTAGAGAATCTTCTAGATTAGGTTCTGGTTGGGTCTTACGGATTACCAACCATAATACTACTTGAACCAAAAGCCCGTAAAATTGATTAGGCCAAATTGTATAGTTAGTCAAGTAGATAATCCTAGTTTTAAAGCTTACCAATTTAGTTTACCAATTGATATATGTCATTTTCTGCCTTCTTACCAATTTAGGTTTACCAATTTACTTTACATTTTCTACCTTGTAAGGGGGTGAAAAGCTAGAAAAGGCTATAGTTAGCATCAGCAAGAAACAGTCTTAATTGAAGATTTGGCAGTAACATATAAAGGTGGCAAATAACACAGATCTACACCAAGGTTTACCTTATTTGTAAGGTATTCATGTGTGGATATCTCCCACAAGTTTTCCAGTGGATCTATTATGTGCCACATATGATATCACCCAATCACATCATCCACCTGCAAGGCTGCACATTGTGGCAATTCATTCATTTCCTCAGTTTGGATCATAAATTGTGTCTTCTTCTAATGTACATTGTGGCAATTCATTCATTCATGTGCAAATTCATGGTCTGCAGATACACCTGTATCTTCTTCTGATGTTCTCTATCTTATACAAAGCATCTCCCTAGTACGAAAACAGAGGAGCTCAGTGCATCTAATATAGCCAGCAGAAAGCATTTATCCCGAATCCAAAGCTTCATGAAAGTTAATCCTAAGTCTCTGTTACTTCATGTGAAAGCATTTTTGTTAAAATCCACCCACTACACCACTACCACCTCACCTACTCCACTAAACCTAACCCACTACACCACTA